GAACATTTAAACATAAAGAAAGAAAGAAATAAAATAAACAATAATTTGGGTCGTATAATCCACCAATCCTGGAGCACCATTCTAGATGAAGATTATAAAAAGGCATAGTCTCTCTACCATAATACTGTTGAATTGTGAAAATTTGAACCTTGATGTGAGTCCTTTTGGTTTTCATATGTAATGTTTTAGTTTTTAATAATTTACAACCTTTATTTATTATATTCTAATTTATTTATACAGTGAAATGTTTAAATCATTAATTAATTATACAAAGAGAAAAATACATTTATACTCGGGTTTGGAATATGTATTTACAGTGGGTTTTTTAAAATTATTTTTATGGCTATGTAAAAAATTTTAACTTATACAATAACTTATCTTGTTTTATTATTGTTACTTTTTAGTTTGTGGTAGTAGTACTTCTGATGAGGGGCATGATAGCACGAAACACTTGTAATATGTGTACAGAAACTACTACTACAGGTGATATAATAAAGAAACTTTGTTCTTTCCTGAACTAACTCTCATTGCTGTGTCAATCTTTAAACATCAGCTTATGTCCTATTAATAAATTTCAAGTAGACAATTAAAAATAATAATAGCAATAACTTGACTTTTTGGACTGCAATTCGAAAAATTTGTATACTTATCAGTCCTACCCGTCGTCCGCCTATTGTCTGCCCTTTCTCGAGAACGGAGTCAGATAGATGAAAATCGAGACCTGGTCCAGAAACCTTAGGGACAGGAGGTCAGATTACCTATATACACATTTCCGGTTAATACCGGAAGTCACGTTATTTCAAGTAAAAAATTTTCGCCTCATTGTTTTCAAATTGCACCCCCCAATCATAATGAAATACTAAGAAAAACTTTTCTGGTAGATTGAGAGGCTTTGATAAGTGAGATTCCTGATCAAAAACGGTGTAACCAGCATTAGAAAATTTTCAAGAAAAAAGAGGAATTTGTTTTTCAATTTACCAGCATTTTAATATGTCACGTTTTATTAATGTGGTGGAGGGTAATTGACTTTTTCGTGCAATGATAGCTACAGTTTTGGAGGTTTAACCACCAGATTCAGAGGTTTATTTCTGTCAAGAAGTCAGTTTTAAAGTGAGTTATATTCAGAGACAACTTTACAGGTTTCTTTGTTCGTGCGATGTATTCTTCTAACGCCGCAACTAGGTGGCGGGGATTGATCTGTTTCGTCGGCGCATTAATCGCCCGTAGTGTGCTATTATTGTTTAATTGTTCCTCCAGGGCGGTGCTCAGGTCTCTGCGAGCTATTTCGTATTTCGGGCTAAATACGACGGCCGCAACCTCTCTAATAAGAGGGCGTTTTTTAGCAAGAATATACGGATTTGGCCAGGCTCACAATAAATCATCTGGATGATGAACCCAACATATCCAGACCACCCCCGAAAACTTCTTGGGATTCTTTAACTCGAATTTCATTCCGAGTCCCTACAGCGGTAGGCTTATACCTTAACTGCTCGGCCAACCGGCCGTTACCATATAATGGCTAGTTCGTCATCCTCATTAATATAATGCTTACAGTTTGCAAAATTTACTTATGTAGAATGGCAAATTTCGACAAAAAATAAAATTTTGTAGCCATATTCACGGATTATCCGGTATATGATATGAATTTGTTACATTTTTTTAAATTTTATTTTTGGTTTGTAATTTTAACATGTAAGATATAAATATTGTCTAAGTAAATGTAAAATTTAAAATAAGTAAACTAAGAATTAAATCTAATTTAAAAATACTTTAATTCAAAATTACAATTATAAATTAAGCAATTTAATAAATTAGGTGGCGCTGTTCTCAGGAATAATTCCGCCAATGTTATTGTACTGAAACATGTGCTAATATTGGAAGCACGTGTACGTTGTTTATTTCCGTATTATGATTCTTTATGTTAAACTATTGTGTAATATTGCATTTTACAGTTTTGTTCATTCTTAATGGGATAAAATAATGCCGTCACATAGAACTATATGATAAAATTCGTGATAGTAACAATAATAATACAGTCGACCCCCCTATAAGATATAGATACGTTCCATTCTTTAGGAATCCGATTTCTTAAGAATCCTTCCAATCACAACCCGACACGTGTCAAGTTTACGGACTACGGCTGTTTGAAAGGTTTTCTTCCATAAAATTAATCGATTCTAGACTAATCCGACTCAACATTTCCAAAATACGTATATTTTTTCGTAGTTTTATAGGAATCGTAATTATAGGGACCGTAATTATAGGGGGGTCGACTGTATATATTTAACATGAAAAAAGGTAATTAAAAACGTCAACTAAGTTAGATAGAAACCAATTTTTAAAATCAATTTGAAATTCAGATGATATGATGATATTTAGGAAATTTCTCAGGTTTGCTTTATAACAATTGAAGTTGTAAAAGGTTCAGTTCTGAATAGAATCTTATAAAGATATAATTCAAACAATTAGAAATCATTAGAACAATTACTGTTATCTATAAAAGCATCCAGAAGAACTTGTGCATTTGTGCCAATTTTAATTTTCTCATTTGTGCCAATTTCTCAATTTTTTCATTTCTCATTTGTGCTCAATTTTTTCATTTCTCATTTGTGCCAATTTTAATTTTCTAAAGAAAATTAAAATTGGCACAAATGCAGTTCTGAATAAAGTGGTTAGAATTTTATCAAGCCTAGATTGTGCCCACAGGAGTAAAATAGTCAAAAGAACCACATGTTGTGTGACCCTTTGCTAGATATCATTCTATCTCAAATTTTGAAGACCATCAAAAATGGGTAAAATTTAAATGAGAAATATCCAGAACTATTTCTCAGAACAATGCTAAATGCAAATATTTTTCCACTTTACTAAAGATCGCTAAAAGCTCATAAAATACAAGAAACACTACCATATCAATTACTATCGTATCTATTGTATGTTTAACAAGCAGCTTGATCAGATAGCATAATTTTGGATGGGCTATACTTGCAAGAGTTACATGTAGACCATCAGTTTCTTTTTTACTTCTACAAGCATGGTCTATAGTTCTGATAAGGTTTCAACTGCCTTGTTCAGAGCTGAATTTATGTCTTATGATTTATGCAAAGTATGGAAGGAAACTTGCAAATAATTTCTAATATAATGCATGATTTTGTGATATTTTTAATATATTAGATATTTATTTCTTTTATTTTTAATTTAGGTTTTCATGATAAAGAATTCATCTGATTGTAATCATAAAAAGGAAAAGAAGCAGACTGGAGTGATATTAGTAATATCAAACAGTGATTTAATGTTAATGGTGATTCATGCAAATGTATGATGATAATATAAAACATAAACTAGTTTTCAGAATGAATCACAAATCTGATTTTAATATGAAGTACAAGTCTGATTTTAGTGTGAAAAATGAACCAGATATTCATATAAAGCAAGAAATAAATTCTGATGTAAAGCAAGAAATCAATTTTCATGTGAAGCAGGAATCTAAATTTAATATAATGGAAGAGCTTAAATATATAAAACAAGAATCAAAATATAACATAAAGAAAGAATGTATATTTGATATTAAACAAGAATCAAAAAACATAAAGAATGAGTGTAAATTTGGTATTAAACAAGAACCGAATTTTAATTTGAATCAACAAGAATCAAAGTATAACATAAAGAAAGAATGTAAATTTAGTATTAAACAAGAATTAAAATATAACATAAAGAAAGAGTGTAAATTTGGTATTAAACAAGAACCAAATTTTAATTTGAAGCAGGAACGTGATTTCAGTTTGAAGCAGGAGTCAAATGATAACATAAAACAGAGATTAAAATTACAAGTTCACAGTACAAATAATGTTATTTGTGCAGAAACATGTCTAGAACAGTGTAGTTATGTAAGTAAAATTTATGGAATCAACCAATATTTTCTTTCAGTATATTCTTTTCATCTATGTTTAAAGCAAAATGATTACTGGATTGTTTCAGGACATATGAATCCTAAAACTTCAGTTTTTACATGTTTATATTGGCAATGTAGTTTACTTATAAGGCATAGACTTAACAATACCATGAATTTGCTATATTTGGTCACTGCATTGCTATGCATCTTAAAAAATACTTGAAAATTTTGAAGATCTTGAATTACAGAGTTGAATTTATAACATTTGAAACTCTGCACCACATTGCCAAATCTGCTCTTTGCAAATAAACTCTTTGATCATTCTTTATAATTACAGTTTAAACTGTTTTTCTTGAAGATAAATATTTTTAGAAAACAGCATTTTATATCAGGACAAATGTAACTAAATAAGACAAGAGAGCTTCCTTACAGTTTCTTTTCATGCAATACAAAACACTTCAGTTTTCTAAAATGTTTTTACTCTGAGAAAAGCAGTTTGAATTGGATTTATATTTTAATCTAGTGTCTTAACAGGTATATTATTTATATGTATGTTTTATTTAAATAAATAGTAAACAGCTTTAATTTTCAGGCATTTATTCTTCACTGGTGCTTTCAAACAAACAAACAAACTATTGTAGATTTGTTAATTTGTTTGAAAGAATACAGTATATATATATATATATTTAAAATCATACTTAGAATTAGAATTTATTCATTAAACTTGCAAATTGAGCCTGAAAAGATTGAAAGTACTGTCCTAAGTCCATAGGATAGAAGGCAGATTATCTGTACTTAAAAATCAATTTGAAAGCAGATACAGCATATGCGATGTGGGTTTAATTATTTTAATTAATTAATGAAACCCTTTCACTTCATTACTGTTATTTCTATAATTGTTCTGTATCTGAACTAAATAAACGACTTCCAAGAACTTAACACTGCGTTGAATAATAACAACCCACGAAAAACCTTTTTTTACGAGTGTTATGTCACTATTAAATTCCACAAGAACCTCCACCGAGGTCTGCTTCAGGTGGTGACTGGCCATGTTTCGACCCAACCGTCGAAACGATGTTGCCAACAATGTAAATAAATAAACGTGCGCGTCGGGTTTCACCCCTCCGACCGCCATTGCTCGAACTCCTTGAATAAATACTTCCACGCCTGTGCAAGTGTTTCCCCATCCCTGTAGTTGATGCAGTTGCCCCCCATGATAGCTTTGTAAATCTCCCAGGTCTCCAGGTGACGGATGTGATCAGCGCGGAACACGGGTCTGATAAGTTTGGTGTTCCAGAAGTCCGCCCTTATTTCAGGGTCGGTGACATAGGTCGATAAGGCAGTGGTGTGTCTTTTATGCTTAATATCAGGTCAGGTCGAAACACGGCCAGTCACCACCTGAAGCAGACCTCGGTGGAGGTTGAAAGTACTTGTGGAATTTAATAGTGACATAACACTCGTAAAAAAAGGTTTTTTGTGGGTTGTTATTAATCTGAATAAATTGTCTGACAAACTTCTGCCAACCATTCTGAAAGCCTTTTCATTCATAAAAAATTGAAAAATCAACTAATAAATACAGGTTTTTACAAATCATTATATCTTACATAACATTGAGCAACTTGGGATTGCATTACTTTTTTTAATTGTAAGTAAATAAACAACAGTGTATCAAATATGACACATACAGCGTTTCATAAAAAATTTTTCAGGACAGGTAGAGAAAGTGTTTATGACCAGATACCACTGCCATCTTTCAAGCTATGATTATTAAAAGGGTAACCAAAACAACACATTCATCTTCACAAAAATATGCTCAATATTTAAAATTTTATAATTCATTTATCATACCATAATTTTAGTTTGTTTTATTAATTATTTTATTAGTTTATAAAATTTTTCTGTTTAATATTCATTTAATATTTATTTTTTCAATTATCTGCCCCAAGGGTACAAATAGCAGGGTTATTGAGATCTTGTATGTGGCCTGGAGTAGAGTGGGCCCCTTTTGCTATTTTTTTAAACAAATGAATGTATAGAATGTTATAAATAAAACAAATACAAATATAAGATTAGTAAAAACACTAATTTAGAGAGATATCATTGGTTTTTCGAGGCCTAGAAAAATTTTCCAGTTCTCTCTTGATAGCCTTGACTAAATGGGCTATTTTTCATACCCATCATGAGTTCAGTCAAGCCCACGATAGGATGACAGATGGTGAAAGACAAGGCTTCATACATCCCGGATAGATTGGCCATGAAAATTTCCCGAGGTTTTGACTGCTTGGATTTGTTTCCTGGTCTCTGAGTGGTGAATTTTGATTTCTAGAGATCACTAATTTGATTTAATTTTATAACCAGATCTCTTTCCTTTATCCTTCCTTCTTTAATTTCATGAACTTGGTTCCAGCCAGAATTGTTGGGCTATGGATGAGATAGGACATCCAGACATCTTATCCTATCCCATAACACCAGTCAGAGATGTCATCTCTATGTCGAGGTATCATTGTCACCAGTCAGATGATCTTTTTCATCTCTGACTGGTGTAGGCTTGTTCTTGGAATTGCTCACTACTTTAGTGAATTGATAAGAACGAGTATGTTATATGAAGGCTAACTGTTGCCCCTAACGTCCCATTATGCATGTAAGTACATAAATCAAAGATTCATATTAGAATTTAGATAATTTAAAAATTTATTATTAAAATTGTAATTGTGATTTTTCTGTATAAATTTTTAACAATATTTACATTTGTTGAATTTAATTATGGTAATTTTTTTTCTATATTATAGTTTACAGATAATAGTTTTTCAAACAATATCAATTGTACCAATGACAAGACTATGAAGTACAATTCTATTGAATTGACTCACTCTGAATTATCCAAAGAATTAAAACAAATTGAATCACAATGTTCTTCAGAATCTAATATTAAAATAAAAAATGATAAAGGTAAAATGTCCAAAATATTTCATAATCCTTAATAACACAGGTTCAAATCTCAATCTTATTATTATTATTATTATTTCTTTCTAAAAAATTTTTAAAATAAGTATCTTTAATATAAAAATATTAAAATTTTATTATAATAAATAATTTCAATTAAAAAAAATGTTTAATACATATTACATGTCATTTTAATTATAATAATACAAAATAATTAATAAGTATATTAATAATAACAGTTATAAATGGCTATTATAGAAATTAAAACATTTAGATTGTTTTATTTGTTACTTTTACATATATTTTTTATTACATACAAAAACTGAATGATAATTATCATAGAAATATGGGAAACAATACATTTTTTGGCATCTAGCACAACAAATAAACGACGAACGCTTACAAGAGCAATGTTCTTTCAGAAGATCAGTTGGAAAACAAACTTCACTCACATTCATGAATATTTCTCTGCCTTCAGCAAGTTTAGCGGTGTACCAAGCATATCTAATCATTTTATCAAAAATTGGCAATGACAATTGATGATGAACTATTGATTCTATTTTAATACAGTCTTTAATACAGATTTTGTTGAACTAAATAAGCAGAATTTTGAAAATTTTTTATTAGATTTTATACTTGTCTATAAAAATAGACGTCACAAGGTTGAACGAGAGCAGTACACTTTGGAGGAATCGTTTTAATCGCACAAGTAGGTAATTCATTGTCATCCAGGAAAATTTTATCATATAATTCAAGTTTTGTTTGTCCTCCCTAAGAGTCAATAAGTAGAAGAAACTGTTCTTTTCCCCATGTAAGGTTTTAAACAGTTTTGAAGGAACTCAATGTTTAATTTTCTTGTAAGCTTTCCGGACTTTGATGATGATGATATATTTTTGTGCGTATTCTTCCACCGTTTTCTGCACTCTTTGACCAAATTTACTGGTTGATTCTTGAAGACATACAAATACTTGTTTTCCAGATAAGGTGAGTGCATATTGTGCCATATATGAATGTGTCACTTTATTCATATCATGTCATTTAACAAATACAGTTTTGCTACCTTTTTCTGCAAGAGTCCTATTAAAAGTAGATTGGTACTGTCACCCTAAAAATGACAATAGCATGAGTTATATAAAATGGGTAAGTGTACAATTAAAATTGAGCATAATTTTAAGTTTTGTTATATCAACATACCTGTCTGGTCAGTATCAATGACGAAGTTTTTGTTAAATGTAAGTATTAATTGTAATGCTTATAAATGTAAAAAAAATAATNTATAAATCCTAAAAAAAACGGTTCAGTTGAAAATTAACAGTTATACACTATTAAAGTAATAAAATAAATATGTTAAGTGTAAGTGCAAAAAGCTTTTTAATTAAAAAGTAATTACTACAAAGAAGCTGCAATTAAGAGTAGGAGGCGAGAAACGGGTGTCTCTAACATTAAAAAAACTGAATCACTAGATTGCGTGCGATGATTGTACAGTACATTTGCAACTTCGCCACGCCTGAACCATTGAACCATTACACCTTTTTGAAATATAAAAATTCGTAAAATTCATATATTTTCATGTATTAAAGGGAAGTAGAATACGTAACAGTGCAGCTGCCGTTGAGTATATATTGATGATTTCTAATTAATTTAAGAGTCAATACTTGTTTAACTGTTATTTCAATATTTAAAACTGGAAATTATTCCTCATATTTTAGTAATTTGGGATTTTTATATATACAACATGTTTATTATTTATTATAAATTATACATATTTAGTCTTAGGAGAAGAGTAAAAGTCTGATTTATATTAAAATCCGTGCAGTTTTAAATTGGAATTTCAGGGGTGGCCACAATGCCAAGTTTTGCTATACGTGACAATATAAAAATAGTAAATTATCATATACTAGAATGTAGATTCTATGCAAACTTTTTAAGAGTACGTAAAATTAAATCCGCATGTAAAGCTGTACTGATCAAATGCAATTAAATTAAAATGCATTCTACAAATAAAGATATTTAAACACAAGTTACATTCCTAAAGTCACTTTATTCATTGGATATGTAATTTATACATTCGAAGTTATTCGTTTTTATAAGAATTAAATAAATCAGTTGTTCCTAAACTTTTTCGATTCCCATTACCCTTACTAAAATCAGGTTTTCCTAAAGCGCCCCGTGTCAAATTCTAACAAGTAAAATTTGCAAAATAGTGAAATCGCCAATAATTAAAAAGTTAAGACGTTAAATAAAATATAAATAAAACATGTATATAAAATAACGAAAAAATGTAATTGAATAAATTTAATTAATTATAATTAATGGGAAGGATAATAAGCCTATTAATTAATCACCGCGCATTTTCTCAAATCTTGGAATCAAACTGGACACAGCCACTCTCGTTTTGTATATGTAGTTATGTGCTCAAAACAAAACTCTATAATGTGTTTTAAATTCAAAGCAAACCTGTATCGAATGTACAGGTTTGCTTTGAATTTAATAACATCACTCACCCAATACACAAACCTCTCTGAAAAAATTCAGAATTTTTGACAAAAATAAAGGAATTATTAAGGTTTTAAGATGGTGGACTATTCTGCCCCATCTACATACAACTTATACAAACAGAAGAAACCCCGAAATTTTTTTGCATTTCTCAACATTTCAAGGTCCCTGAGTCCAAAAATATAAAAACCTTGGGGGCTAATTTTGACCGATTATCATACTTTCCCACTGTTGTGTAAAACAGCCGTGAAAGTAATAATACGATATTTGTTATCTAGTACTCTCTCTTTATACAAAATATCGAGTAACCAAAAGGCATACGATAGTTTAAATGCACAGGATATACACCATATATCGCGGCATACTACGAAATCCCTGATTATTCATCAGTTTTCTTGAATATTTAAAATAATCGCACTAAGTTTTGTTAACGTTTTAAGGGATAAGGTGGAGGAAGATCTGCCGTTGGGATGCCGATCGGGAGGGTTTTCTATGAGAAACTGTCCCCTGTGTAGGTGTTATACACGTCAAGAAAACCTGGAAAACTCAGATCCTGAACCCACGATCAACTATGAGTGTTCAGTGTCCTTATCCACTCCACTTCTGGTGGATAAAATCACTTAATTTTGCTTAAAATACAAATTGCTTTTATTTGTTATTTTCTATTATTGCTCATTTTTTTGCTTTCAAAATATTCAGAACGAAAAATGGATGTTTGTTTAGTAGATTTTTCCAATATTACTTGGATCGACGTAACAACAAGAAGATCAACTGAACAAATACNGATAATGGAAATATTTCAATGGTAATGACAAAGATTATTGTTTTAATCTTTCATCCTATTCAAATTCCTTTTAATGGTTGCCTATATTAATTAATCTTTTATTGATTAAACTGGAAGCTAGCTCGATGTGCTCAAACTTCATATAGTCAGTACTATCTTTATATAGTTGCTATCAAAATAAGATTTTCAGTTTTCCTCTAATTTTTAACATTGTATGAAAAAATTAAACATTAATTTTTCATTGTTAACTTCATCAATTATTTTCCATTTGGTACCACAGTCCAAACAAAGAAATTATTTAATGAAAGCAACACTAAATTTAAATTACAAATAGTTATTTTTAAATGTTAACTAAATTATATATTATAAATTGTATACTGTAATTAACAAATATTAGACTATACAATGAAGAATCTTCTTTGTTCTGTTTATACCTCTGAAAAATAACAGTGTTACAGAAGAGTCAATCTTTTATTGGAGGCTGCTTCGTTTACTGCATTATGCAAAACATTAATTTCTGTTCAAACTGTTATTTTTCTGATGTGTGATCAAGGACAAAGAAAACTCTTCATTGTATAGTCTAATATTTGTTAATTTTTATAATTATATGTCCTGACAATTTTTATTGTAAACTGTGTGTTTAATCATTCAAACTATATGCATATTTAACTGTGATTATAACAAGAGTGACAGATTTGGTTACTGATCATTCTAACTGACAATGAAATCCTTGTGTATTGTAAGCATTTCATTTACTATGTGGCCATGCATCCACACAATTTTCACAGATTCCTCATTTCTAACCACTTATAATTCAAATATTATTTTTATGTTTTCCATTTCTTTCTGTCACTTTTACTCGATTTGCACATTACTCAGACAATAAATGATTTGATATCAATTAATCCATTAACTGCTACTTAATTCTTTGATACTTGCTAATATCAAATCTCCAATTTCTAATTGCCTATGAAGTTTCTTATATACCAAAAGAAATCAGTTATAAATGAAGTGCAAAAATATATTAGCTTGTAATGCCTTCAAAACAGTACGTCACTGTTTAATGCTTGTTGTAATATTTAAAATTACATAAACTGTTTGTTTTTTTATTAAGGTTAAGGCTCCGTCTCTGATTACTTTCTTCTGTCTAATATTTATGGTTCACATTGCTTTGTGAAAAGCACAAAAGTGCGACATGAATTGGTATACCTTGGCACATGGAAGTAATAAGCAACTCACATTCATGTAATGTAATCTGCTGTAAACATTATATAGGTAAAAGCTTCTTGCCTCTGAAATATTAATTTAATAATTATCTCAATTAACCAGTTTATAGAGATATGAGGCTTATTAAACTGTAATGGAGCCAAGTACTGTAATCAAGATCATATTGAGAAAAGACTTTTATTAGTGGAATGCATTTCAGTTCTCAATACTCTCTTCGTTCACAACTATATGAATATAGATAGCTGCATATAGATGTTACTGTAACCTGTTACTATTATGTTAAACATTGCTGGTATTTGTATTCATATAGTTGGGACTGAAAAGAGTATTGAGAACAGAAATGCATTCCACTAATAAAATTCTTTTCTCAATGTGATCTTGATTACTTGGCTCCATTACAGTTTAATTAATTAATAAGCCTCATATTTCTACCAACTGGTTAATTGAGATAATTATTAAATTGCTGTAAACATATTTACAGCACAAAAATGTAAGCAGCAGTTTCATGATAGATATCACTGAACATTTTCAATGAGCAAAAAGCTTGATCTGTTGGCATTTGAACAAGGGATGATTGTCAGTCAGACTCTAGCCATTCTTGAAAATCCAAATATACTTGCTATGTCAACAACACCAGAAGTACATGAAAACTGGAAGAAACATTTTTTACAAGATAAAGAATTGCATTCCTTGTTTTGCTCTGTGTGCTCCCAAAGATGGGCCACTTTAGCTGACTGCAAATTTCAAGGCAGGTGCCCAGAAATCTGTCAGAAAGGAAACCATTCAATGTTCCATTCAATGGGAGTCAAAGACTTATGCATATCCCCTTGTTGAGTGATGTCCACTGAAAGAAGTCTTGCCTAGATGAAGCAACACTATTACTGGACACTTGAAGATTGGCAAAAGGTCACTTGGTTTGACAAGATTCATTGTCAATTGTTTTGGGCCAAAGGACATATGTGTTTTGTGTCAACTGCATGAAGCTGTGAACCCATCCTACCAAACAATGACCACACAAGCAGGAGAAAGGTCAGTAATGGTGTGGTATGTCTTTAGCTTGTGTTTACTGGGCCCATTGGTGCATTTGAAAGGCACTCATAATGGTGAAAGAAGAAACATCCTTGATGACCATTTATACTCATTCATATCAATTATCTATCCTGCTAGAGATGGTTTATTTCAACATGAAAATGCACCTCTGCATCAGTCTTGGCCCAGGAATGACTGCAGAAACATTTCACAGAGTTTTGTAACTTCAGTGTCCCTGTTGACTCCCATATTTGAACCCTGTATAGCAAACTCCTTGGTCACTGCATCCTCTACCAACTACCCTTGTTGAATTGTGGGACACCATCCAGTGTGCATGACTTGAAATACCTTCAAATCACTTTCAACACCTTATGGATTTCATGTCACACCATACAGAAATGGTTATTTGGTCAAGAGAGTGGTCACATATGCTTTAGTTAGGTATACCAATTCATCTAGCACTTCAATATACCGGTATATTATTACAATTATTTTATCTACAGGTTAAAAAATTTTAATAAAAAATAAATGACAGTAGACCAAAATTTAACAACAAACATCTTCAAAAATAGGTAGATGATTTTTAAAATTAGTTGTTTGGATGCCATTTTGTTTTATAAGCATCCAAGATGACACCTCATAAGGTATAAAATATTTTGTTTTTTTCAAGATTTTATGTTTTCTGGCATACATGACATATTTGACTTTACTACCATTTTATATTTTTATAAGAAATTAGCTTCTACTGGCTTCTACTGAAAAATTTCCTTCAGTGAGTGAATGAGACCAACACAGCTTCCTACAAGATTATTAATTCTATTGCAATGTTTATATATTATTTTTAACTAGTCTCTAAAAATTATTAGTTTCAGAAAATTAAATTATACTTTCAGGGTATGAAATCTGCAGAAACATAGGAAAAGATGTACATTCTGCTAGTAATAAATTTAAAACAGGAGAAGAGAAAGCTTTCACCTGTAATGGCTGCAAAGTGCAATTTCCATCATTGCAAAAGTTACAGATTTACATTTGTAGGCATACAGAAAATAGCTACTACTTTTGTGATACTTGCAAGAAATCTTTAATGAAGAAAAAAGTATTAAAAACAAATTTTAGAATGCCTTCATCTAAATTTCAATGTGACATCTGTAAGAGGATTTATTCAAAGAAACTATTTTATATGAGTCATATGTTAATACATAAGAAAGATAAACCTTTCGATCTGTAATATCTGTAAAAAGAACTTTTTTCTAGCACCAGTTACTTTACAGACATTTCCAGCTCAGTTTAACCAGTTTATAGTACTAAAATCGACAAAATAATGTTAGAATGGTATAATGATGAAATATTTTCATGCATGTATGTCTCCAAATATCCATTATGTAGACAATGCTGGCTCTACTCTTTTCCGAACTCTGTGCAAGAAATTTTGGTGCATCCAAAACTCAATAATCAATATTCAAGGTTAATTCAGCTTCTATCTGGAATTTCAGTAAGGGCAATAGAGATGATTTGTTTCATATTTTAGGTATTCCCCTCCATATACTGACAATTCAGCAGTGGCTCCTCACTTCCAGTGCTCTCTTAAAAGGACCAAACAGCTGATAATTGCATGGTGACACATCTGGACTGTTGGCAGGTGAATCATTACTTCCCAATCAAGTCAATGATCACCTCCACCATGTGAATAACAATACTTCAATGCCAGCCAAAATACTTCTATTTTTCAGGTATCGCAACATTGTCAAAATAATGGGAGAAGTGTCATCATCTGGAAAGGAAGTAACTATAGAAATAAACATAAATTGCTGTTATTGAAATTATGGTAAGATGACTACCCTTGTTTAAATTTTGCACCTGATGTTGAGATTTCAAGTGCTGAGAATTCACGTTATTGTAAAATTTATAACTGTAATATAAATGTAAAAAAAATTTTTCTTTAAATAATTAAATGAATAAAATATTTTGTATTTGGATTTTTGATATAAGTAGTCTGATTTTGTAGAAGTTTAAAACATGCATTATCCAAAAGCCCCGAAATGGCAGCTTGAAAAGTCCATGGTCTGAACTAGAATACTTAGATTATCAGACTAGTGACACACAAGTCATCGTCGCCATGTTCTGGCAACTGTCATTACGTGGCCTATGGGTTTACATTAAGAAATGACGATTATTTCAGTTAATAAAGCATTTTATTTGTTTTTTTTTATTCAAGAATATGACGGATGGATGAATCTTAAAGGCTCGATAAGTTTTAAATCTCTAGCATTAGTATTTTTAAATAAAAAATTAATTTTGTTTACTTATTAGAAAAACTTCTAGATCAAAATTCCACATGTTATTTTAAAGCAAATGTAAGAAATCAGTCAGTAGTTCATGAAATAGATATTTGAGATATTCAGCTTGTCAAAACTACTACTGGATTTACTAATTTGACAGGATTTAATGTTGGAATATACAATGTATGCATACTTATGCAACATGCAAAGGTAAAGCTGGGTGTTGGCCTGACCTAACTCATCTCCTCTCTCTTGGAGTGTGAAAACTTTTGAGGGTTTTATTATTAATACTCTTTTTGTATTTTTATTTAACGTCCCATCTTTATACTGTAAAATCTATCCATTTTTTTTCTTTAAATAAAATAAAAGTTACAGTAATTTATTCTTACATTTGCTGAAGTAAAGTTGTGTTTCTTTTCTTTGTGTTATTTTGTTATTTCACTACATAAACTTTTTAACATCAAGGCTATTATATTGAAGTACTTTAATATAATAATCAACCAAATAAAAATGATCATATTTGTATCCATATTGCATTATTGTACGATAAAAAGTAATTTAATAAAATTTTTTAAAAGCTTTCTATACAGGGTGTATCAGAATGACATTTTATAAATTTGGGGGATTGTAGGGGATGAAATTTTGAATGTTTTGATATAAGGAACCCATAACCGGAAATGTGATATAAAGTTTCTACAGC